TTTTATTTTCAAAAAATAAAAAAAATGTCAAACAAGCCCTTAGATTTTGAGAATTTTTGGTTGAAAAAAAAACTCTATCTTATGGGTGGCAGTATTTGTATAATGGCAAGGACATTGTAACTCAAGGCCTGTTCACATTTACTGAATTAAGCTGAACTGAATTGAAGTGATTGGAGTTGAGTTGAACTGAACTGATTAGAGCTGAGCTGAACTGAACTGAACCAAGCTGAAATGAGTATTTTATGAGAGAAAGAAATTAGGAGCTGAATAGGCTCTTAGACCATCTCCAATGGTGAGACTCAATTATGAGTATTAAAATACAAGTTGAGTTGTTTTTCACTCCCAATGGTAATACTCAACCCACTTCTCAATTTAGCAACTCATATGATTTATAATTTTCCAATGGTAAGACTCACATTTAAGTATACTTATGTCACTTTCCATTGGACCCACCATATGCAATTCTTTTGTTTTCATCTTTTTTATTTGAGAGATTGTTGGCTTGTATTTAAAACAAGTTAAATAAATATAATTAAGGCCCACATTTTTTGTCAATTGAGACTCAAGTTGAATATCTAAACGTAGCAACTTTCTTTTAGAGTTGCTAAGTTTAGATACCAACTTATTGGTATTCTTTGCAAAAACAACTCTCTCTCTCTCCTAACAAATACTATTAGAGTCTCACCATTGGAGATGGTCTTAGTATCATAATTCCCTTAACAAATAACATGATTACAAAATTAAAACCAATATCATCTTATAAATTGTTAATGATATGTGTTGTCCACTTTTCCTCATTAGTGGATATAATGAGGTCTATCGTGAACCCTAATTGTAAAATGTCAATTGTATACAATTTTCGACTTTCCGTTGTAATAAAGAGTATACTGATCAGTTGATCTTACAATTTTTTTCCCCTCTGTGCTTTTTATGGATGTCATCATACAAAAAACACCAAAGAGAGGTTCCACTAATTGATGACAACATAACAAAATTGTTGTTGACATGTGAATATTTCATATGGAACCTGATATTTGAACTTCACATGTTTATTAGCAAGTTTATGATTTTTGTTCAAGCTTGTTTATTAACCATAATAAACGATTTATAACAAAGGTTGTTCGCGATAGCTCGTAAAACGTATCAACTCATTTTACACCCTACTAATGTATCCTTGAAAATTGTTATATTTATCAATTTACTTCTTAGGCCATTTTTATGTTTGCTACTTACTTCGCTTTATATTGGCGGAGCTAGCATGAGACAAAGGGAAATAGTTGTCCCCCCTACTTCCCAAAACAAATTAGTTTAAATAAAATATTAGCACATAATGTAATAGACCAAAAGAGTTGGCGCAGCGGTCAAAGTGAGATGCATGAGCTTGTGATCCTAGCATGTTTGTTTGTGGGGATTATTGATGGGATAAGGATTTAAAATCCCTAACGTCCCCTTATCCCTTGTTTGTTTGAGGGGATACAAGTTATCCCATATAAAAGGGATGAGACTAAATAGGGGCTTATCCCTCTATTTCTATAACAAAGGGGCAAGTATAAGGTTTGGGGATAAATATTAAGAGCATCCCCACTCGTGAGCCAAAAAAAAATTCCTCATTCTCTCTCTACCCACTTTCTCTCTCTTCCCAACCAAATTTGCTCATGAGCATTTTTTGTGAGCAAATTTTATCCCACTAGTGAGCAAAAAAAAATGCATATCAATCTCTCTCCTACTTTGTGTTTACTAACGGAAAACATTGTGTTTGCTTGTTACTTACGGGTGTTTGGATATTTTTGAGGAGTTGGATTATATTGTGTTTGCGTAGATGGTATCACTATTATTTACAAGTATGAACTCTCAATGAGAGGTCAAAAATATGAATGACAATTCCATGAGTGATGAAACATGATTGACAATTCCATGAGTGATTAAAGATAGTAAGACAGAAAAGAATCTTGACTATTCAATATACAAAAAGACAACTGACATGAAAGACACATGACTACTCAAAATATAGTAAGACAAGGGACATGAATACAACTAAATAAAAATAAACTAATTAAAGATAAGCTAATTAAAGAAATCTAATCTCAGAATACAACTAATTAAAAATAAACTAATTATAAATAAACTAATTAAAGATAAAAATAATTAAAGATAAAATAATTAAAGAAATCTAACATCATAATACAACTAATTAAAAATAAACAAATTAAAATTGAACAAAATAAAGATAAACTAATTAAAGATAAACTAATTAAAGAAATCTAACCTCAGAATACAATTAATTAAAAATAAACTAATTAAAGAAATACAATCATTTTCTACTGTAGACTAATTGAAGTAACTTTTCCTTGTGGGCCTGTTCAGCTGGAGTGAGTGGTGTTGTCCTTGCTAAAAGTGATTGAAGCATATCAAAATTCATGTTCTTCTCTGCTAAATCAACTTATTTTTGCTTCCTCTTTTCCTTTTCTCTATCAAGTTCCAACCGTTGTTGTCGTAAATTCGCTTCCCTTTCTCTAACCTCAATACACGCCTTTATCTGTTCACTAATACTCACTAATATTGCACTTTCGGAAGCAACTGCTTTGCCCTTCGCTTAGCCTTCGTTTTTTGATACCGTTTGGTCGTGGTAATCCTCCGGACATAAATCCATTAGTACAGATTTCATTCTCACTCTCCGCCCTAGACCTTTTCCCACTTCCACTGCTATCTTCCTCATCATCGGCACCGCAACCCTTTCTTTCCTCCTTTGACAGACCCCATCTTAGTTTAGTCCTCCACTTCGGATCTTTATTAATCATTTCCACTCCATGTGAAAATGCAAAATTATGTTGTGGATTAGAGGAGATATAAAACAACTTGGAAGCATTTTTAATTCGATTGACTTCGTTGTAACCACTTCCGCTTTCAGGAAGTTTGCCCGCCTCCTCATAGCAACTAGTCCACTGTAGCAAATCAGCTGCCATTCTTCTCCAATGTGTCTCCAAACTCTTCATAGGTCTTGGTGGAAGAATATGCGGTTTCTCAGCTTGTAGTTTACAGTAAGCTGCTTGAAATTTTCGCCATAGTTCGGATGCCTTTTGGCTCGTACCACGAAGCGCATCATCACTTAGTTCTAGGTAAAACCCAATTAGAGCTTCATCCTCAGCAACCGACCAAATGCGACTCGCTTTAGCAAGTGGTTGATTGGCCGGAATCCTTGGAGGTGGTGGAGGGTACTGTGGTGTCTCCGGAACAGCTTCTTCTTGGCTGACATCGTACTCAGAGTTGCTCCCTTCAGTAACGGAAGGAGTTTGTTGCTCAAAATAAGTGTTTTCATTATTAGGAATTTGTGGAGGTGTTGGTTGATGAACAGAATTTTGAGAAGAAGGGTTTCCTAATCTTTCTAGGAATAATTGAAAATTGGGACTAGTGATGAAATCATTACCTAAATCAGAAAAATGTTGAGCAAGTTGATTGTAATTAGGGTTATTTGGATCCATTAAATTGTATAATAAATTAACAACAATAATAAATACTTAAGAGGCACCGAAATTAAAATAAAAGTACGTTAATAACGTTTTAAAAATTAATTGAGTACTACAAAAATTAATTAACTATAAAATAAGAACCTTTTTGAACTTTATATTATAAAATAATAAATTAATCCTACTACAATTGGGAGTTAAAATAATAAAGAGTGTATTTTTTATTTTTGAAAGTAAAACAAAATATTATAATTAAATTATCATTAATAACGTTTTAAAAAATATTTGAGTACTAAAAATATTAATTAACAATAATAAACAAAAAAAAAACCTAATTGAACTTTATATTAGAAAATATAAAATAAATCTCACTAGAAATGGGAGTAAGAATAATATAGTGTTTTTTGAAATTATACCAAAATATGTCAAAATGGATCTCTATTTGTAGAGAAAAAAAAAAATATAACCGTTGATGATTTTTTTTTATTATTAAAAGTGCCAAAATAGCTGTTTAATGTTTAATACCGTTTTAAAACAGTAATATTTTCTCATTGGGTAAGGAGGCTGACAGGGACGCGTGTCAGCTCCTCAATGGTTGGACTAACGCGCCCCTGTCAGTGGGTGCCATTTAATTTATTTTTTTTGCTTCAAACCCTTCAAAACGCAGCGTTTTGGGGATGAGCTGTTCAGTTCACTTCCCAAAACGCGTCGTTTTGAGAAGGGGTGAAGCAAAAAAAAAGGCGTCAGTTTGTTCCCTCTTGTGGAGCCCACTCTTTTACTATTCATCTTCATTTTTGCTCATAGGATGAGCAAAATCAATTCTGCTCATGAGCATTTTTCCTTTTGCTCATTGATGGGGAAGCTATAAATCCATTTTTGCTCACCATTTTTTCTCATGAGCAAAAAAATACTCATTGATGGGGATGCTCTAATAGGCGAAAGACGAATTTACCCTTAATGAAAGGGAAGGAAAAGGAGAGAGGACAAAAATTAGGAGAAAATCCAAGTTTATCAATATGATAAACAAAATTTGTTTATCAAATGACAAAATTGTAAATAAACCAACAACTTTTTAGTAAATTTGAGTCCCACTATTGTTGATATATTTACGAAAATGCCATGATGACTGAGCATTTATGTTGTTTTATTTACCATTTTGTCATTTGATAAACAAATTTTATTTATCAAATTGATTAATTGGGGCTTCCTCAGAAATTAGTAAGAATAGTTAAGTGAATTTGCTACTTATCCCAACTCATTCCAAACAATGGGTATCATAATTTTTATCCTTATCCCCCCTAATAATTCCCTATCCTTATCCTACCTTCTTATCCTCATTATCCCTATTGTCAAACACCGGGATTAGAGACTGATTCGATTAGAGACTGATTCTTCCTACACTCAATTGTGTGTTTGTACAAAATGAAACTAATGTGATAAAAATCTATTAGTACCCGTGGTACCATGCATATTCAAGAAATTCCAAGCATCATGCTAGAGTTGCCTTTGCGAGAATAAAATAGGAGAGGCTAAAAAGGCATTACTTAACTTTATATCCACCAACAATCTTTTCTCTTCATCAAACTACCTTTGAGAGTTGAACTTTTTAGCAAATGAAAATATTCTTTCCTTAATCTTAGTTTACCCTTTCTTGTTGGTTGGGCCAACACCAGACTTTGGTTTAACCCAACAATTATCCTTTGCTTCATAATATGAACAGTTATCATATAAACCCAGAAATCCTATCTTCTCTATTAAAGCTCTGTACATCTCATTTTGCTTATTTCTATCTGAAGCCGAAAACTGTAACAGGAGCATAACAGTCTGCAGACATGGGTATTCTTGCAAAAATTGCTATGAGTTTTGATGCACTTATTGGGTTAGCCCTCCTTTTTTACTTCTAGTTTACAAGTTATTTGTTGTTCCATTTTTCGTCTGACAATTTTTGATTAAAACTTTATTATTCCTATGCCATTACAGGCCTGGGCTGATGCTTCTGTATCCACTGTAAGTTATACTTCAATAGTTATTTCAATAGCAGAATATCATTCAGAAAAGTGCAATATTGAAGATAGCTATTCAACAGATATGCATCAATGCGAGCTATTGAGAGCCCTTCAACACTGGATGATCAACAATGGCTGACATACTGGGTTCTTTACTCGTTGACAACTCTCTTTGAGCTCTCATGTTGGAGAGTCCTTCAATGGTATCTGTATTTATGGATCGATAAATGGTGATCATATAATGTATTAGCAATAAGAAAGGCCAAGTCAATTAAAATAAATTTCCCAAAATGTTGCAGGCTTCCTTTCTGGCCATATGTTAAGCTCTTGTTTTGCATGTGGTTGGTGCTGCCAATCTTCAATGGCGCTGCATACATATATGAGAACTACGTCCGCAAGTATGTGAAGCTTGGGTTGTCAGTTAATTCCAACTATCCTCAGGGCCACCGTCAAGTGCTCCAATTGATGTCTCTTGATGCTCGGAAATCTGTTGAACGCTACATTGAGAGATATGGGCCTGATGCATTCGAGCGTGTTGTCAGAGCAGTAAGATGCAACTTTTAATCTATAACTTATATCTTGTCCCTGCTTCTCAGTCATAATTTATCTAACATAATACTAATATGCTTACAAAACATTGCAGGCTGAAAAGGAGGCAAAAAGGCAAAGCTAAGGATGTCAATACAGATGGATTTTTCCAATAGATCAGTTACATAACAACGTTCATTTCAATACTTGCCTGGTTTGGCAGCTCCTGCAACTTTGTATTATAGAAATGTATTTATGAAACAATTCTAACAGATATTGTAAAATCAACCTGTACGATTTCTCAAAAAAAATGTATCTAGAATTTGGTGAATGAGGAAGATAACGTAAACTATCAGATGCAAACATTCATTCATGTTCTAGCTTTACATACTACATCAATATCAAGTTGACCTCTATTTAACAATCCATCATATCAAAGGATGCATCGCCTCAATTCCTTTTATTGCCAATATATTTGCTGTGAATCTTAAGTTATAGCCATTTTTTTGGGGAGAGGAGGGAGGGGGACACAAAGCACAGAATCCTTTATCCTCACCCTTCCCATGATTCTATAAAAGCAAAAAATTCATACACTAGCTACTTGTAATGGCTATTTTCAACCTTTCACCAAGGTTCAAAGAGAGGGAGGGCCATTGATTTTGTGATACCAAACTACACTGCTAGCAAATGGTATGAAATGACATTGTTCCATCCACAACGCTGTGATGCCATTTCACTAACTTTTAGGGAAAGAACTAAAAATATTTTCCAAGCTTTTCAGAAAGTGCAAATGTTGGCATCAATATCTTCCTCACTTTTCTACTTCCCTATTAAGCTATTACAATAAAGCTGTGTTCATTTAATTTCACTCCTTCCTTTGTTATTGCTAAATAATAGCATGAATAATATGGAGTATACTAAGTAGAATGTTTGGAGTTACATAACAAAAAATTCCCATGCATCAAATGATGAGAAATCTGTATTGGCCTACTGCATAATATAAGCTATGAACCAATGCACCACAAACACAAGGGGAGAAATTTAAAGGATATAGCAGCAACTTACTATTTGGGTTTCCCCTTTGGTTTCTTTTTAGAGCTCTCAACATCTTCATCACTCGCCTCATTGTCATCAGAATCATCACCTTGTGTATCATCTTCTAACTCCTCATCATCAGAAGATGGAGATGGATCAAGACGTGCCGCATCCATAGCCCACCTTATAACCTTCTCTACTTCATCTTCCTCTTCATCGTCAATGACAGCTTTACTGTCCAAACTGCCACCAGCAAGCTTATCCTCAACAGAAGCATCCAATGTCCCAACACCCACAAATGAAGAGGAAGCGGAGGGAGATGGCTTAGGCAAAGAGGCCTTCAGAGCTGCAAATCTTGCTAATAAGTCATCTTCCTCAACTTGATTGTTCACGTCAGCAGACTGTGTTGGAGGTGTTTTTCTGGTTACACTCTCTTTCTTTGTCTTTGATTTAGAGCCCGTCTTAAGGTCCCTGAATCGCTGCTCTAGTTCTGGGTGTAGATCAGAAGGGGAGGCATGAATCGTGTGTGAGTTGAGGTTAATTTTTAGTAAAGCTGCATCCTCTGCAGCCCTAAGCAATTCTTCAACCTCATCATTTACATCTTTTGTGTTCTTTTGGTCACGACTCATATTTCCCTTCTCTCAACAACCGAACACACACACAACTGTAGAGAATGGTATTCCCCTTAAGGTTGTAATTCCACTCAGCAAATATTTGCACACAAAGCTAAAACACAACCCCCCTACTTTCGATTCCTTTAGTCAGATATTTGCACACGAAGCTAAAACACAACCCCCCTACTTTCGATTCCTTTGGTCAGATATTTGCACACGAAGCTAAAAGTTCGTCACTAAGATATCTGAGACAACCAAAAAGCCCAATCTTAGAATGATAATTCAAAGAACTCAAAACAAAAGGAATGAATTACGAACAGTTATTTGTAACAGCAACCAATTGTAAATTCTGCAAACAAACATGTAAATTTATGATTTATACTAATTATCAATCAACTAAAAGGAATTCAACAGAAAACGATATAGGGACTCTAGACAACGCGATTGCCTAAAATTGTCAGGTTTAGTTCGCAATGCTCCAATCCATAAAATAGTTTTTACCAACTAATCCATCCAATAAATCGCGCTATATTCAGAAACCGCGAATCACATCAACAATCAACAAATTATGCATCAATTTATGTACCCCATCACTACTTTTTCAGTAAATCAAAAGTTAAATACAACCCATCAACCTTCAACAAAATCAACACACACCCAAATACTTATTAATCACAGCACGCTAATCAGTCAAAATAATCAAATTTGCAGCTTAATTTGTTTGAAACAAGATCAAATTCATGATTTCATTGATACCTTTTTTTTTTTTTTTTTTTTTTTCTTAATATAATTATAGGCAGCATGATCAAATGTTCAAACCAATGAATTAAGGTAGAGATCCGAAAATAAAACATATTTCTATGTACCAATTGATTAAATATTAAGGGATTAACAGATTTACTTAAAAAAAATTGAATAATAGAATCAAAGATATGTAATTTTACATCAAGAAAGGTTAAAAATCAGTACCTGACGGATTACAAAAAGATTATTGCTGACGATTGACTTGATACAATATACTGTATATTGAACAAATCAGTCCAGTTTTTTCTTTTTTTTTTTTTTTTTTGAAAAAAGTCCAGAAATTTCGCACTTGTGAATTTATGATTTACGGAGTAATATTTGTCCTTTATTTTAGTAGGAAAAATTGACAATAATAATCTGTTTAAGCACAATTTCTATAATACTCCTGGAATACCGTGAGCTAGGGGTGAACAAAAATTCAGGGTACCCTGATATTGAACCGAAACCTGTTCGGAACCGCAAGTTCCAAACCCGGAACCTGTTGATCAGGTTCCGGTTCCGGGTAATAAAATTAGGAACCTGTTGCAACAGGTTCCGGTTCCGGGTAATAAAATTTTGGATCTAGAACCTGTAGGGTACCCTGTTAGTACAAGTTCCCTATAGGGTACATGAAACCGGAACCTATATGGTATTAAAAATTCTAGACAATTAGTGTTGGTTTGTTATATTTGAAGTACTATACTAAAGTTGTAAGCTTTTATTGTGATCATCTATTTTAAAAAAAATAAATTTGTCACAATTTATCAAGTAACTATTAAACTTACTTTGACAGACAGGGTACCCTGTTTAGGAACCGGAACCTGCAGTTCTGGTTCTGGTTCTCAATTCTTAGGAACCTGTTGCAACAGGTTCCGATTCCGGTTCCTATTTTTAGGAACCTGTTGCAACAGGTTCCGGTTCCGGGTCCTAATATTTTTACAGGGTACCCTGCTACGCTCACCCCTACCGTGAGCATGGTACTCCAGGGGGTCAAATACTAGCTTTTGAATTAAAAAAAAAAAATTCTTCTTCTATTTTTGTTCTTCTGCTCTTCCCTTTGTCTTACTTTATTTTTCAAAAAATTTCAAATAATCACTCTATTATTAAGAAATTTTGTTGAATTGAAGAGCTAATTGCTCAAATTACCAAAATCAGAAAAATTAAAACCCTTTGTTTCAAAAAATAGAAAAATTAAAACCCTAAAAATCAATTAAGTGTTTTATATTTGTGAGAATCTGATAAAATTTGAACAGCAATTTGAATGAAGATGATTTTATTTAAAGAAGAGAAAAAGAATCGAACAAATTTATGAGAATTTCCAGAAGAAATTTTACGTAAAAAAAATAAAGTGAGCGAATATTTTCGAAGAGGGATATTAACGTATTGTTCTGTAAAAATAACATACATTTGAAAATAACAAAAAGTTGAAGCAAAATAACAAAAAGTTCAAGTAAGATAACACAATAATCTGTTGGCAAAATAATAATTGATTTCACTGAAATAATACAAGGTTCGTGTGAAATAACATAAGTTTATAGTAAAATAACACGGGCTGAGGTTTCCACAAAATAACACTAGAATTTATCAAAATAACACATGGTTTACGTAAAGTAACACAACGTTTTAGCAAAGTAACATAAGGTTATTTTAGCAAACAACAACACAAGATTTGCGTAAAATAACATAATGTTTTAGTAGAACTACATAGTATTTAATTAGTAAAATAACATAAAGTTTTCTTAAAATAACAACATTTTGGCAAATTCAAAAATAACGATTCGATTGAATCAAATCAAATTAACATATTTAGTTCAAATTAGCAGTATCATTTTCAATTAATTAAACTAAAAACAAAACAAATTAAATATACTTACTTTATTTTGCTCATTCTTGTTCATAATTGTCGTTTCTTTATATTTTTCATAACTATAAACCATTTTTTATGTAGTGAAATTGATTTTCAGCTTTGATTGAGCAATTTTGTGCTTGTTTGAGTGGTTAAAATAATAATCAAAAGAAATTTTTTGGTTTTTGTTGAGAAGAATAAAAGATTTGATGATGCTAAAATGGTGGGTTGGGAAATTAGAGAGAGAAAAGGTGGGGAGAGAGAAAGTGGAGAAAGAAATGAAATTGAAATTTTACTTATTTTAGGTTTATATTGATTTATATACTCTCACAACTTTTTATATTGGAGTACCATGAGAATAGTACTCCAGTAGTACCTAATACTAATTGTTGTTTAAGAAATAATTGTTGACAGAAATGTCTATTCAGTCGGCCAATTTTAGTGATTTCTTCACCGTTTAGAAGATTTGTCACTCAATAAACTAAATAATCTCCAACACTTTATTACGGAGTATTGATTTTTCCAAGATGGGTCTATTTTATGAAGTTACAATTGTTTTTTGTCAAAAATAAAATAAAAATGGTACTCCATAATAATGTAATTTTTAATTAGTCAAAGCCCATACTTACGATATTTTTGATAATTTTGAGCAGTTGGATTATATTGTATTTGTGTAGATGGTTTCAGTAGTATTTAATATTTATAAGCATGAACTCTTAATGTGAGGTCAAAAATATGAATGACAATTCGATGAGTGATTAAAGATACTTTTTGAATCTTGACTATTCAACATACAACAAGAAAATTGACAAGAATGACACATGACTGCTCAAAATACATTAAGACAAGGGACATGAATGAGACATGACAAGCAGTAATTATGACTAGTCTTTGCTTACAACAATTCAACTTCATTACATAAATTAGAAAAATCTAACCTCACAATACAACTAATTAACAATACTTCAAATTTAGAATTATATCACAATACTTAAAAACATACAATCATTTTCTACCGTTAGACTAGTTGAAATAACTCTTCCTTGTGTGCCACTTCAGCAGGAGTGAGTGGTGTTGTCCTTCCTAAAAGAGATTGCAGCATATCAAAATTCATCTTCTTCTCTGCTAAATCAACTTGTTTTTGCTTCCTCTTTTCCTTTTCGCTATCAAGTTCCAACCGTTGTTGTCTTAAATTTGCCTCCCTTTCTCTAACCTCAGTACACGCCTTTATTTGTTCACTGATACTCAAAATTGCACTATAAGAAGCAACTGCTTTGCCCTTACGCTTATTCTTCGTTTTTTGACATCGTCATGTCATGGTAGACTCCCAGACATAAATCCATCAGTACGGACTTCATTCTCACTTTCCGCCCTAGACCTCTTCCCACTTTCACTACTATCTTCCTCATCATCGGCACCACAACCATTTCTTTCCTCCTTTAACAGACCTCATCTTAGTTTTGTCCTCCACTTGAGGTCTTTATTAACCATTTCCACTCCATGGGGAAATGCAAAACTATGTTATGACTTGGAGGAGATATAAAACAACTTGGATGCATTTTTAATTCGATTAGCTTCGTTGTAACCATTACCACTTTTAGGAAGTTTGCCCGCCTCCTCATAGCAATTATTCCACTGAAGCAAATCAGCTGCCATTCTTCTTCAATGTGTCTCCAAACTCTTTATAGGTCTTGGTGGGAGTATATGCGGTTTCTCCGCTTGAACTTTATAGTAAGCTGCATGAACTTTTCACCAAAGTTCAGATGCCTTTTGATTTGGACCACGAAGCGTATCATCACTTATTTCTAGGTATAACCCAATTAGAGCTTCATCCTCAGCAACCGGCCAAATGCGACTCGCTTTAGCGAGTGGTTGGTTGATCGGAATCCTAGGAGGTGGTGGAGGGTATTGTGGTGTCTCCAGAACAACTTCTTCCTGGCTCACGTCATACTCAGAGTTGCTCCCTACAGTAACGGGAGGAGTTTGTTGCTCAATATAAGTGTTTTCATTAGGAATTTGCGGAGGTGTTTGTTGATGATCAGAATTTTGCGAAGACGGGTTTCCTAATCTTTCTAGGAATAGTTGAAAATTGGGACTAGTGATGAAATCATCACCTAAATCAGAAAAATGTTGAGCAAGTTGATAGTAATTAGGGTTTTTGGGATCCATTAAATTGTATGATAAAATAACAACAATATTAAATACTTAAAAAGCACTGATATTATAATTAAAATATTGTTAATAACGTTTTAAAAAAATATTAATTTTCTGAACACAAAAAATAACCTTTTTGAACTTTATATTATAAAATATAATTTAAATCTTACTAGAATTGGGAGTAAAAATAATATAGAGTATTTTTATGATTTTTAAAAGTATACCAAAATATGTCAAAATGGATCTCTATTTGTAGAGAAAAAAAAAATATAACCGTTGATGATTTTTTTAAAAAAATTATAAGTCGGCCAAATGGCCGTTTCAGACTTATTACCGTTAAAAACCGGTAACATAATTGTGATTGGGTGTTGGGCTAACAGGGACGCGTGTCAGACTGTCAGCTCCCCACTGTCTGGTTTGACGCGCCCTTGTCAGCTGGCTGGAGTTAATTTTTTTTCCTTCTCACCCATCAAAACGACGCGTTTTGATATTGGGTATTGAGTGCGCTTCCCAAAATGCGTCGTTTTGGGGTGTGGGAAGCAAAAAAAAAAAATGGCGCCAATTGCTGATGATGATTGGGGCCCACGCTTTACTGCATTGTTAATTTTGCTCATTCTATGAGCATTTTCTAAGTTGCTCATAAGCATTTTCCACTTTGCTCATTGATGTATTAAGTTTTACCCATTTTTGCTCATCAATTTTGTTCACGAGCAAAAAAATGCTCACTGATGTGAGTGATCTAACAATGACGCACTAAGGAATTTCTAAACAGGGAGCGATATATATCACATACTCCTTAGTTTGATAAATAAGTACTACGTATGTTTTAAAAAAATATAACCCTCTAATTTTATTTTTGTTTGGAATAAACCCCAAAAGGGAGGTAATTATATGCCCCTTAAGAACCTTTTTGTTTGCACCATGAATCTACTTTTTATGAGAGCTTTCTGGGTCAAATAGTGCAAACAATAAGAGACGAATGGAGTTAACCTTACATTTTAGTACCTTCTGTTTTTGAACAAAGGGTTTAAACGCTCTACTTCCTAAACGCTCTACTTATATAAAACGCTTAAACACTCTACCTCTTCATCCGTGGTGCACAAACCCGTACCAATGCCGGGCATCGCCTATCAACACTCCTCGACGCCACCTCTGGCGACTACAAGCAGCAGAGAAAGTGAGTGAACTCTAAGAGAAGTCAATAGAGAAAGTGAGAGAAGAGAATAAAGAAGAGAAGAGTGGCAAGTAGAGGGACATGCTGCTGGGAACTTCAAGTTCGTAGAGGAACTTGAAGATTGATCCTTTAGCTTGTGATATGTTGTTTGCCCTATTATAGTGAAGAATCTTTCCTAAAATCTCAAGTGGTTGTGGTTTTTCCTCTTGTTAGGGCCAAGAGGTTTTCCACGTAAAATCTCTCTATCTTACTTTAAACTTTTAAAGTTCCTATAGCTCAGTTTCTTTAATTCCGCAAAAAAGTTAGCCTAATTTCACTTAACTACAATTCACCCCCTCTCTTGTAGTATTCTTCTAAAGTAACACAAAAACATAAAGTCCATCACTCCGTCATGCTCCCGGATGTATAATCTAAGAGTCTAAGCGTTAACTTGTTGATGTTGCAGTACATACTTCATGCTTAAACCCTCCTATGAACACTGAGTTCTACCATATTTACCTTGAGATTTACCACAACACACATTTGAGGAAATTAAAAACATGCTTTACTAAAAGTATATACAAGTGTTCTTTTTGGATCCTCCTTTACCCTGTAGAATCATTTGTACCTGTTTTTGGTTATCAGGTTCTTCAATGGAAACCTTAAAGAATTTGTTGAATATTAGTGAGGGCAAAGATGATAAGCTGCAGACATTGAAGCGTAAAGCCAGAGCATTGCATGTGAAAGCAGAAGATGTACTCAATGAAACAAAACAAGAGGAGCTTCAACCAGGAAAGAGACGGAGGAAGGAGGTTGATAACTGGTTGAAAGACGTTAAAGAGGTGGTGCTACGAGGCAAAGATTTGATTACATCAGACCGGAACAATGCTGGATTGATAGAGCAAATTGGAGAA